TTTGAATGTTCTTTGTAGTTTTGCATTGCTACTTTCTCATTTGAAGTAGCAGACACCTCCTTGAGTATTCTGTTCATTGGTGCTGGTGTTGGGGGGGGGGGGTTCTGCCTTTTTATGGGTACACCTGTTACTCTGGTCTTGCTCCCTCTTGTGGCAGAATTCTTACATTTTTATGTCTCTGGTTCTTTCTACTCACCAGACTGCTGGAAAGAAACCTCATTTCCCAGAAGGTGGCGCTATAAATCAAGTTTGTGGTTTCTCTCTTGCCCATTGACCCATTTTCTGAGGGTACCCCCAGAGGTTCCTGGGTAGACTTCCTACTGGGAACAGTCGGGCAGCAGGAGCCTTTTAACACTCGCATCTGCCTCAGTGCCCTGGGGGCCACGGGAGAAAGGGCCCCCTGGGCCACCACTGGTAGTTCGGCCAGTGCCTTGTTGCAGGGGCTGGTGGCTGGTCAAGTTCTTACCGTCTCTGCTGATCCAAGTTCGTTTTCACTTTATTTTTCTCTGATGACCTGCTGGAACTTCCCATTGGGAAGGCTAGATCTCTGCAATGTCTCTCTTGTCTGGGAGTATCTGCCCAGGTGAGCACCCGCCAGGTTTTCTTCCCCGACCCTGGGGAGAGGGTTGGGGCAGGTTTGCCGCTCTGATGGACTCTTCCCAGGTCCTTGGATCCCACAGCCCTGTTGACTTGGGGGGGACAGGAAGCACAAACCACTGTCACTCCTGATGGTATCTTTTGATCCCTTTCCTCTTGGTCGTATCCGGGAGGCCGCCAGCTCCTAAGCACAGCCTCTGGGAGAGCTTTCCAGGAGCAGGGTTTGCAGAGGGAGCCACAAGCAAACGGTGGCATCACCTGTTGTGAAAGGTTGTACTTATTTCTGGGTGTAGAAACAAAGGCTTTTGCACCTTGTCAGTTACTGTCCGGTCTCCCTGAGACAGCACCAGCTGGAGAGAGGCAGGCCCGCCTGTCCCTGCACCTCCCGCAGGCTGTGGCGGGGTGGCGAGAAGTCCTGCCTCGGGCCATCCCCGCGTCGCTCTCCAATGGGGAAGAGGCTGCTGAACGCTGGAATATGTGACTACTGCCCGCGTTTGGGACGGGTCAGAGGTGACGCTCTGTATCTGCCCCTACCCCATCGAGAGAGCTGGCTAGGAGTCCGATCTGCGAAAATACAGCTTCAAACCTCCCTCCAAGGCCATTCTCAAGAAAAAAAGCTTGATCCTAATGAGTTGCGAGTCTGGAGTCAGCAGGTAACTCGGAGAAAGAGCGTGCTGTTGGGAACAGGGCACCGGGAGGCCTCAGCTCAGGTGGGAGCGGGGGGCAGGGGGGTGACTCCGTGGGGAGGCGAGGAAGGCACCGACAGCCCTGGGCCCCTGTGGCCTTGCCGGGCTCCCCTGCCCCCAGCAGATGCATTCTGTACAGAACGAGAAGTCACTGCCCAGGTCTCGCTCTGACTCCTGAGAATGCAGGGCTCTTCTTGCTGATCCCGATTAGCGTTCTGGCCTCTCCACCGAGCCTGTGTCACTGGGAAGGCCAGTGGGAATCAATGTGGAGATGGCAGGCCTGCCCACTTGTCTCCCTGCAATTAAGGCCTCGTGCTGACGGGCCAGCAGCCGCGACCCCCCCCCCCCCAGTCCTCGGTCTGCGGGGAGGGCCCGCAGCACAGCGTGCAGACAAGTCACATTAAACCCCATGACACACGTCGAAGGGCTGACGGGAAGGGGGCAGCCTCACAGACTGAGTTCTGCATTACTTCCTCAGCGCCCTAAAGTGAAGACGCCCACATAGGTCACCCAGGTTTTGGTTCATTGATTAAGACTAGCAACTCGCTGCTCTGAAAAAATCCTGTTGGAATAATTATCCCTGGGCCCTTACCGGTTTGAAGTCAGAGAAAGGCAGGAACTGGGCCTCACCAGGGCTGCTCAGAGCCAACAGGAGGGGCCTGTGTCTGCACCGGGCGCTTCCTGTCTCCAGGGGCCTTGCAGGCCACGTACGGAGCTGCAGATGGGAACACGGGACAGGAGTGTGTCCCCTGGCTCTCCAGCCAGCTGTCCAGTAAATTAGAGAGGGTGGCTCTGTGAGAAGTCTGGCTTTCCCTCCACACACAACCGTGGTTTCTGACCCTGCGGGGGAAATCTGTGCTCCTTCAGTGATGCACAGCCACCTTCCCGGTGGTGACTGCAGCCTGCAACCCCTGTCCCGGGGCAGTGCCCGGGAGCACGTGTGCATCGTGCCTGCTCGTGCCCTGGTTTCCGGGCAGGGGCACCTGCACGCACCGGCCGACACCTGGGAAAGCTGAGCACGTGTGCAGCTGAAGGTTAGACGCGGCGTCAACGGCCTGCCCACCCGGTTCTGAGGGCCTAGTCGCCCTCCTCGTGCTCTGACTACCTGTGGCCTCACCTTCCCGTCTCTTCCAGAAGGGCTGGGGTCCTTGTCCTGCAGCACCTCCACCCCCTCAACATCTGCCAAGGGCTGGGGTCTTCTCACCCAGTGACTGGGAACACCTGGCTTTGATTGTCACAGGTGACCCCTGACTTGACCTGCTGGCTTGAGTCCTGCAAAGTGGGCCCAGCGGTCTTCCGAAGCCACCACCCTGAGAGGGCTTGGTGGTGACGGGCCCTGGGCACCAGCTCAGACTGGAATCGAGCCGCTCGCTCAGCCTCTCCAGGGATGCAGACCGTGCGCGCTCCATGTGGTGAGAACTGACTCGCTCCGCACCTCGTAGCGTGAGTCACCGCCGCTCTCCCTGTTAGGCAGCGGGTCGCCTGTCTCCGATGTCACAGGCCTGCCCACTGTCCCGAACCCGCCGAACGACCCCATGCTCGCTCACCACGGGGCTGCTGTCCTCCGCTGAAGGGCATGGCTTCCAGCGCCCACAGCCGCTGGCCCTCGCCTAAAAGAGGAAACTTACATCCCACTTCTTTTTTAAGATTCTTTTCTGGAAAGGCAGAAAACAAAGTTCCCCTGTCCCTCAATTTATAGAAAGGGGACCTGAGACCCAGCAGGTTTTGTGAACTGTGTCCCAGAGAGAAAAATGACGGAGGGCGGCAGTAAGGAGCTTCGGCCTCGGGACCGAGAGTGCGCCTCCCTTCAGCTCGAGCTCCGTGCCCATTTGCCCATCGAGGAAGCAGGTGTCTCCTCACCCCCGTTTTGCAGATCCGGAAACTGAGGCACTGCAAGCATGTGTGGACGTGGGGGCGTGTTCTGGTCCCCAGCTTCTCCGGCCCCCACCTCCTGGGGCTGCAGAACACACACCGCCTGTCGCAGTCCTTGGGACCTGCCTGGGAAACATCTCTGCACCAGCAATTTCCAGTGAGCTCTTCTCCATCCTGGTTGGTGATGAGGCCTTTACCAGTTGCTCACTGGCCCACGCAATTAAAGCCGCTGATCGAGTTTAAACAGTCCTGAGGGCAAGTGAAAGAGATGTTTTCACCAGAATTTCTCTTATGACATGGATTATTAATTTGCCCTGGCCGGTTTGGCTCAGCAGTTAGAGCATCGGCCCACAGACCAGAGAGTCCCAGGTTCAGTTCCTGCTAAGGGCATGTACCGTGGCTCTGGTTGGGGTCGTGTGGGTGGCAGCCAGTCGATGTGTCTCTCTCACATCAATGTTTCTCTCTCTCTCTCTCTTCCTCCTGCCCTATCTGAAGAAAAATGCAAAAATGTCCTTGGGTGAGGAGATATATATATATATATATATATATATATATATATATATATATATATATATATCTGCTTTACTGCAGTGGGAAATGACCAGAAGCCTAGTTAACGAAAGAAAAATCAGAATGTATATTCTGTGATTTGAAATTCTATTCCTAGTAACAGAATAGTGCCCAGCAATGCTCTGCAGTATCTGTGGGTTGCTGTGTCCCTGCTTAGAGCACTGGAAATGGTTCGGGTCCGGGAGGGTGAGAAGGCCCTGGGGTCACAGAGCAGGGAAAGTGTGTGGACAGGCAGGGAGACATCCAAGTCGTCCTTGATGCTTTTCCACCTGTTCTCTTGAAATCAGCCTGCAATGGAGAGCGCACGAGAGGTGCACAGAGACTCCACACCCACACACGGGACACTGCTCACCTGGGAGAAAGCCAGCCTGCTATTTGCTGCAACAGGGATGGACCTTGAGGGCATTACGCTAAGTGAGATCCGACAGAGGGAGAAAGACAAATAGTGTATGATCTCGCTTACCTGTGGCATCTAAAAAAGCCAAACTCATGGAAACAGTTACCAGGGAATGAGGGAGATGTTGGTCAAAGGATACAAATGTCTAGTTATAGGAGGAGTAAGTTCTGGAGAGCTAATGGACAGCATGCTGATTATAGCTAATAACACTGTATTACACACTTGCAAATTGCTAAGTGAACCTATCTAAAGTACTTATTCTGCAAAAAAGAAATGGTAATTAAGTGACGCGATGGAGTGTTAGCTAATCATTTTGCAATGTATAAGTATATCCGATCGACCCACTGTATAACTTAAACTTACAGAATGTTATGTGCCAATTATAACCTTGAATCTCTCAATGAAGCTGGGGACAGATCACAGAAGTAAGAAGTCAGGACCATGCCAGCCAAGGAGCTCTGCGTTGTCCCTCACTGTGCTGGGCTCACCCGTGTGGGCCCTGAGCTAGCACCTGCCCCTCCTGTCACCCCAAGATACATGCACTCCCCACCCAGTGCACGCATGAGACATAAGACTGACCCGAGCAGTTCCGTGACCCAGCCACGGTGAACTGTTACTGTCCCTGTTGCCACTGATACGTGTCATCCTCAGCAGCCCCACAGCTCTTGGCTGTGTTTGTTTTACATGCCAGGTAATGAGTCCCCTTCTTCCTTCCCGGGACAGGTCACTTACTAAATTAATGAGGCAGCTTCACGGACATGATTTCCTGGCTGGGTTTCCGAACGCTGCCCTGGGCATGGCACACGCGTGTCAGCGCAGGGCGCTCCGGGGACAGGGCTGGAACTCGCCTCACGTTCTGTCCCGTCTGTCTGTTGCAGCTGGGGAGCGACTTGCTGGAGTTTTGCTTCTACACCTTCCGAGAGTCGCAGGCCCTGAAAGTGGAGTTCCCCGCGATGCTGGTGGAGATCATCAGCGACCAGCTGCCCAAGGTGGAGTCGGGGAACGCCAAGCCTCTCTACTTCCACAGGAAGTGACGGACTCGTCCCGCAGAAGAACTTTGCCTTAAGTTCCCCTGTGTTGCTCCACACCCACGAAGGACCCGAGGAGTCGCGTTTTCAACACGTGGTGGTTGATTCACTCTCGTTCCGCAGTTTGCCCAGTTTCAAGTCTCGTCGAGGGTTTGGGAAGACAGGCGCGGCCCGGCGGCCAAGCCCTCGGAAGGACTCTCCCCTCTCCAGCCCCCAGCGCTAGAAACACGGTCCCGTTCCCCCGGATGAAAAGCCATATCTAGTCAATAACACTCTGATTTTGATACTTCAGCAGATGGGAGTTTTAACTATGCCATGTAGTTTCTGGTCGCAGTCGCTTGTTTTAAAAGGGTTCAAGGACTAACGAACTTTTTAAAGCTTACCCTTGGTTTGCACATAAAACGTATAGTCTATATGGGGCATTAATCTTCTTTTGTTATTTAAAAAACACAAGAAAGAAAAGACCTATACAGATTCCCGCTGTGTAAGAACAGAGCACGGCGGAGCGTCCTCCGCCCTGGCCTCCGCATCACCACCCACGCCCTGCAGCGTCCATTTGTTACTTAATTAGAGTGGATAAGATGTTAATTGCCTTGGTTTCAATTTCTAGTATCTATTGTGTTGGCTTTACAGATAATTTTTTTGCAGTCTTTTGCTGTGCTGTACATTACTGTATGTATAAATCGTGAAGGACCTGAGTTATACAAGGTGTATAAGGAACTTTTGTAAATGAGACAAAAACAAAAATCAAAAAAACTTCAGTGGTTAATAGGAAGAATGGGAAAGTATTTTTGAAAGAATTCTATTTTGCTGGAGACTATTTAAGTACTATCTTTGTCTAAACAAACAAGGTAAAAACTTTCCTTTTGTAAAGTGACCTGCCCTGCATGCCTGAGAACCGTTTACAGTGTATTTAAGAAAGAGAGCGCTGTGCCTTTTTTAGCTTCATCCCCGAGCTCCCGTTTTCCAGCCTCTGTTGTAAATAACCGCGCGGAAACCCCTCCGGTTGTCATTAAGCCTTTCTACTTTCTCTGTACTTTTGTTCTGTCTTTGGTCTCCCAAGGGGGTTATTCCTGGGGCATGAGCAGGTTTTCCGGCTTCTGTCGGGGAGCAAGGGGCTGTGGCGTCAGCAGCGCCTTGAAGGCGTCACCTGACGACACACTGGGAGCCGGTCCGGGGGCGCGGCTGTGGCACCGCTGCCCCTTCTTTGTCCTCAAGCAGCAGAACCAGCTGTAGGCGAGCAGAGACTGGAACCGGGCTCAGCGAGTGTCTTCTCGTCCCACTTTAGCAAATGAGTGTTCTCCCTGGGGGGAGGGGGAGCCCACGCACTCACTACATCCGTGGAAGGTGACACGTTCGCGTCTGGTGTCAGAAAGGGGCTCGCCCCCCCGGACTGGTCCTGGGCACACACGGGCCTTGGCAGGGCGCCCTGGGCAGAGGCGCACCGGCACAGTCAGAACGGCGGGGAGACCGCACGCACGATCCTTAGAGGGCTTTTAGATTTTTAAAAGGTAGGTTTTAACAATAAATTTTATACATAGACAGTTTTTTGGGGAAAAACTACAGATCATATAATAAGCAAGACCGTGGCACTAAAATTTGTAATTCATTAATCTGTTTGGCACTGATGCAGTTTACGGCTTTTCTCTCGCCCCAAATCACAGATGTGCATCTCTTTGGGGAAACTTAACAATATGATTGCACTAAATAAACTACTTCGAATAGAGGCCAAATTAATCTTTGAGAGTGATGATAATCATCAGGTACTCAGTGGAATCACAGTATTTTCCAAAACCTAAAAGCTGGAGAAGCCCAAGGCCAGAAGGCAGCATCAGACCCCCGCTTTTCTCCGGGGTTCCCCGTGCAGGCAGCGTCACCTCTCTTTCTAAAGACACCCACCTCGTGCAAGGGGACGCCTGTGAAAGCTGCACTCGGAGGGAGTTTTTCTTACATATTTGCAATTTCAGGAATTTCATTTAAAGGCAGATCTTTAAATGCAGCCAACTTAGTTACACGCGCAGCGATACGGAAGCCACGCTTGGAGAGGATCAACACACAGCATGCAGACGGGGTCCCCAGAACAGGGACAGCTTCCAGAGCAGCTCGGCTCAGACGGTTCGCCGAGGCAGGATTCCAGCGTGACCAGGTTGGGGACGCGGTGGTCTGCATCGGCTTTTCGTGTTCACGACGTCCCTGGCTGTTTGTGTGTCTCCGGGTAACTTTGCTTGGTCCAACAGCAAAGCCATATTCTAACTTCACTGCTGGATGCCTGTCCCAGTCCAAACTGTCTGTCTGCTCTTATTTTTGTACCATATTGCTCTTAAAAATCTTGGTTTGGTACAATTCATAATTCACCAGAACTTCATATAATTAAAAAAATACACACTAAATTAGTTTAAAATGAAGCAATTTATATCTTTATGCAAAAACATATGTCTGTCTTTGCAAAGGACTGTAAGCAGATTACAATAAATCCTTTACTTTAATCACCTGTTGTTTTGGAAACAGTTCATTGGTATGTCTGTAGGAACCCCTGGATTTCGTGCCCTTCTAAAGCTTGATTATATGTGCTGCCTACATCCAAGACGGAGTAAGTTTATTTTTGTTTTTTTTGCCACCATGTGAGAGAGAGATCTGTTAGCCACATGTTCATTATACTCTTTGGGGACCAATTAGATACTTTGTTTCTTACTATTAATATTTGGTCCATTAAAATACCCTATAAAAGTTTAATAAAAATAACTGCTACCCTGTAGCTGCTAAACACTACATATATATTTAAAAAATTTGTTTTGCCTCATATATATTCACAACTACATGAAAGCTCTATAGACTTAGACATTCACCTGAGTAGACCAGGTGCCCCATCTGACTCCAGATGTCTTCCTCTGTGTGGTCCTAACGTGCACTCTCTCCCCCATCCTTGGGCTGTCAAGAGACTCGGCCCCCGCCGGCCATGATGTTCCTCTCACTCCTTACAGACTGCTCCCCTTGATTCCGCTCATTAATATAAAGCACAACAGAGCAGTTATCAGCTCATTTTAAATTTAGAAACCATGTTTCTCCCCACCAGATCAAGTCCAGCATAGTCGCGCACGGCTGAACGGTGGGATGTCTGAGAAATGCACCGTCGGAGTGTCGCCGTGCGACGCCAGGGCATGCACCTGCACACCGCAGCCCACTGCCCCTGGGCTGCACCCCCGGGCGGCATGTCCCGTACTGAAGACTGCGGGCCACTGTGACGCAGTGTTAAGTATCTGTATCTAAACATAGAAAGGTGCCGCAAAAATATGGTCCAGGAGTTGAAAGAAAAACGAGGACACCCACACGGGCCACTTCCCATGACTGGAGCGTGCAGGGCTGGGAGTTGCTCTGGGAGGGTCAGTGAGTGGGTGGCGAGTGACTGTAAGACCTAGGACACCTGTACCCTGCTGTGGACTTCTAAGACTGTACACTTAGGACACAATGTCACTTAGGACACTGTCAGACAACAATGAGGTTGAATCAAGCACAAGAGAAAAGGATGCAAACAAGAAGCATGGTAAATACGTGACGTGTGAGGCTGCTGCTGGCGTAACACAGAAGACTGTTTCAGAGGGGACTTGTTTATAAGTAGAAGGCGTACACTCCAGACTGATGATAGCAAGTACAGTGTAGCAAATACACACCTAAACCAGTAACCTAGACATTTACTGGCAAGTATGTACTGTACATAATTTCAAGCGGGTTTAGGTTTGTGTACCCCAGCATCACCACCGACAAGGGAGCGATGCACTACACGGCCGTGTTACCGTGGCTATGCGGTCGCTGGTGGTGGGCATGTTTTACTCCATGTGATCTTACGGCCCACCACTGACCAAAAAGTCATTCTACAGTGCATGACTGCACATTGTTAATGTCATCTGACGGGTGATCATTCAAACCATTTGCTCTCAGAAACAGAAGACAGAGTTAAACAAGTTCAACTTCACTTAAACGCAATAGGTACATTTCTGGAACACCGCATAGCCATTAAACACAGCACAGGGGAAAAAATTCATTTAAAAGACTAAAGTTGTATGTATAAACTTGTTTGTAAAACATCCATAAATTAAGGTAGTTTTATATCTTAAAATTTAAGGAATTTGACATTAGGGAGCAAAGCTTTTCACAGAGAGCCTGTAACTTGAAACAAAAGCCATCTCAGGCCGTGAGCCTGCCAAGGGTAGCAAGAGGCTGCACCGGTTGGCATGCTTGGTTCAAGCTCACGCCCTTTCTGAATAGAGCAGGCTCAGTCTTGGGTCAAGTGTGACTATATTTCTAGGCGCTCTCAGGCCGAGAACCCGGCTGCACACCCAGGAACCCCCGGAACTCGGGCGGCCCCGCAGAGCGCCGGCCCCTCTAAGCCAGAGCAGCGGGAAAGTCGTCATGACGCACATGGAGTTAGGGGCCAGTTGCTCCTGTTTGTTGAATGCCCCTCAGGCACACAGACAGTATTGTCCTTTTATGTTCAAGTCAGTGTGAACATCCTGCTTGATAAACTACAGGTGCACACAGACTAAAGCGACTTCATTAGAAGTATCTCTGACACTTCAAATTCAAGTCACTCAACTGCTACTGCAGCCTTCTTCTTGGAAATAAACAGGGGCTTCCCAACAGAGGTGACTGTAATGATCAGCATGGGCCAAGACTGCCCAACGCAGACTGAACCCTGGGGTAGCGTAGCGGGTAGTGAGCTGCAACACCTCCCCGCCCAAAACAAGCAAGCAAGCAAAAAACAACTTAGTGGTTTAAATCAACCACCAGTTATTATTTCTCATGGGTTTGAGTCAGCTAGGAGGGTTCTGCTGATCTGGACCAGCTGGGCCGAGTCTAGGGTGGTTCTGTTCTCTGTGGCCTCCACCCTCCAGGGGGCTGGGCTGGGCATATTTTCATGGTAGGAGACACACACTGGGAAGGCCTCACAATTCAGGCCTCATGGCATCGCGTGTGCTCCCGTCCCACCGGCCAGAGCAAGTTGCAAGGTCAAGCGTCCAGTCAGCTCGGGAGGGCTCCACACAGCGCGTGGAAAGGGAGGAGCGGAATTCGGGGCCATTAACTCAATCTACCACAACGATCACTCGGGCATTTTCTCCGTAGGATTTACTTGCCAAGACAGTGCTTCCCCAGGTTTTATGGTCTGAAAAACCCATCCTTGGGTCGTCATGCCAGAGGCCAGCCTGCCCAGAAAGGGTCACGGCTCCTCATGACTGAGAACACGTGAGCAGGGTCAGACCATGTTCCTCCCCCTCTGCCTGCTTCGCCTGCACCCTTCGAGGAAGGAGAAATCCAGACACGGCGCGGGGTACTGCGCTGCCTTAGGGAACCCCGTGCTCTACTGCCAAGTCCAAAGAGCAGGCCCCTCGTGAGCCGAGGGCAGGTCCGCTCTCCAGCCGAGCTGGTCTCCTGATAGGTGTCCTTCCAACCAGCAGGCTGGGCTACATTTAGCCAGACCCTCGGCATCAGGACGAGGTGCCAGCTTACCCACGCAGGGAGCCGCAAATCACGGCCCCGGCCGTCGGCCGTCGAGGAGGAGTGACGAGCATCTGAGACCGGCACAGGAGGACCAGGGCCGCTGTCCGAGGACGCGCCCGGGAAGGTTCAGAAAGCCAAGCTTCGGGCCGGGGAAGGCATCACCACGCTTGCCTTGGGACCTGAGGGGGGACCAGGACGAGAAAGGAGGAGCCCAGCACTGAGGTGAATGGGGAGCGAAGAGCGGCCCAGACGAAAGAGGCGCAGGGTGCCCTGGGGAAGGAGGGAGGGGAGGGCAGACAGGCTGGGCAGGGGGAGCGCAGGGCCTGGCCTTCGGAGAAGGGGCGCCGGAGAGCAGCAGGGAGGGGCCCGGAACAGAACCCCACCCACTGTCCCTGCCGCCGCCTCCCCTCTCCTGTTGGCACCCGCGCGTTCTCACCTGCCACAGCAGCCCCGTGGCCCTGCGCCCTCCACGCACAGGACACAGCAGGAAGAGCTCGCGAGGACACGCCCAAGGTCACCAAGGCCTCCCGCAGTGAAAAGGGGCTTCACCACCCGCTGTTTTCACTCAAGATGAACCTGTAGCCCCTGTTCCTTCCCCAGGGCAGGGGTGACAAGTACCACGGGCTGGGTTCACTTGAACAACAGAAACGTGTCGCCTCCCGGTTCTGGGGGCTGGAAGTCTGAGCTCAGGACGTGAGCAGGGCTCCGTCCTCCGTGTGCAAAGGGCCTGTGCCGGGCCTGCAGATGCCGCCGCCTCCTGTGACTCCACACGGGCTGGCCGGTGTGCGCCGGCGTCTAAACAACCCGAGACGTTTCAGGACAGCAGTCAGACCGGCTTAGCACTCAGCCTACTGAGCCCCTCGCGATCAACTGCATCTGCAATAATCCTGTTTCCGAGTCAGGTCACATTCTGAGGTACCAGGGTTAGGACTTCATATGTGAATTCTGGATTTAACGCACAACAGCCATTATCCCTGACTGGCCCCCAGAAATGAAATGGCACCGCAGAAAGACGTGAGTCGCCTGCTGACCCTGGGCAAAGCTCCGTGCTCTGGAGTGTCTCCATCTTCTCATCTGTAAAATGGGCGCGCTCCTCCTGGCTGTCACCGTGAGGGAAGGCCCAGTGAGACATCTGTCCCTGGTGCAGACAATCCCGGCTTTCCCCACCCCCGCCCTCAGACGCAGATGCTTCTGCTCGGACAGGCAGGGTGCAGCGCGCAGGCCCTTGGCTCTGCTGTCGGGTAGCACTGCCTTACAGGCGCTTGGGCGACACCGTCACATGCAGGCCCACGGCCCCACCGCATGCCGGAAACAAAGTCCGAGTGCCCTCTGTTGGCCCCCCTTCAACACACACCCGCCTTGAATGGGCACAGGCTGCAGACCTGGCTGGGCTGTTGCAGCGAGTGCTCACCCAGGGCAGGGGGAGGGGCAGAGCCCGGGCGAGGCAGGGCCATGGCTCAAACAGATGCTGGGGATCAGCCACACCCAGGCGACAAAACACAGATGACAACACACCCCATTTTTCTTCTGGGGAAATGGAGGTGACGCCAGTGTGAGAGAACACCTCACGATCCCCTCACCACATCTATTCTGGGCCAGGCCCAGGGGAGGCCGCCCTGCTGGAGACCCTGGCAAGCCTGCCGCACTGTCCCCTTCAGAGCAGAAAACGCCTCCACGCGGCCTGTCCTTCACCGGGTCACCAGAAGGGTCTGCAGGGCTCGGGGCTGCGGGAACCCTGGCAGCCGGCACCGCGAGGCCACCCTCCGGAACGCGGACGGTCCAACCACCGGCCAGAGCCCCCGTTAGCTGGGCGCGAGCTGCTTGATCTCCATCACTTCAACCTGCCATCATCGCTGTAGGGGCAGGAACAGAACCACAGAGTTGATTTAATTTGCCCCAAACCACACAGGTAGCCAGACTTTGTGACAGTCTCCTTAGCCGGGTGAGTGGTGGCCAACACCCTTCGGGGGGGAGCAGCAAGCTGTGTGCCGCTCGGTGGGTGACGAATCTCTTCCTCAACCGCAAGTCAGCCAAGTCCAGGTGCGGGGCCCTATTTGTCAATGCCCGGGACCGTGCCAGGAAGTCACTCCATCCTGCCCTGCGCCCACCACTCCTGCCCGCAGGTCGGCATCTTTCCGCAGAGGGGGACACACCATAACCTCTTCCCGTGAGCCAGGGTCCCCTCTGCACCCACACGCAGCAGGTGTGGACAGGACAGGACAACTCAGAACACAGGACACTCGGGGCCGTGCCGCCCACCGCCCCGGCCCAGCTGCCGTGTGGCCCGGGCGCCTCAGCAGCCCCGACACTGTCCCTGGACCCACAGTTCCATAGTTTAAATTACGCTACACGAAGACTGTCCTCCTTTTTATGTATATAACACGGACACTGCGACAGGCCCATTCCCCCGCACACGCCTGACCCCAAACCTGGCCCTCCACGTGGCCCAGCCGAGGCGACTTCAAACCTGATGACCGGCCAGCTCTCAAGTCAGGTCATCTGGGCAGGGCCCAGACACGTTCTTCTCGGACAGTCTCTGGTGAGAGGCCTGCCAGGCCGCTGCAAACGACGGCCACCTCCCGAGGACTCCGATCGAGGACGGACAGCTGGCTTCGCCGTCGGAGGCCAAGAGGAACGCGGGGGCGGCTGCAGGCCTCCCCGGCCGCTGGGGGTCATCGACGCGGGGTCAGGGCCCAGGCTCCTCCAGCCACGGTCCGGAGGCCCGACCTGCCGCCCTGAAGCCCAGCTGCGTGCAGACGGAGAGGTTAGTGCCGAGCCTAGCAAACGGGGCGGGCAGGGCTGTGCAGCCCAGCCTGTCAGGAGGGCCGGCCGCCAGGGCACCGCCGGTTCACAGGCGCACGACGGGGAGGCAGAGCCGGCCCTGCTCCGGCCCGGCCCAGCGCCACGCAGGCCGCGGGGAAGCCTGTCCGGAGGCTGCAGGAAGCCCTCCAGGGCTTCCCACGTCAGAGGGCGCTGCCCAGGGACGCACCCTGCTGCAGATAAGCACAGCCCAGGGTCAACAGCCTTCCTCTGAGCGTGTGCCAGCAGCAGCAGGAAAGGAGTCTCCGTCCACTGGCACATCATCAGACATTACAGAGGAACCAACGCTAGCAGCCTCCCCACCGTATGACACGCATCCAATAGTAAATTACATTTTATTTCATTTACAGAGAACTTGGGGCGAAAAGGTGGTGTCGGGGAAGAGCACACAGGTGAGCAACACCGAGGAGAAGCCTGAGATAAATACGCCGGTGTTCCCGGAGCAGAGTGAGCGGGGGCCGAGGGCGGCCCTCTGGGCTGGGACCCCGCCACGGCCGGGACACGGCAGCAGCCCCTCGGCAGCAGGTCAGCCAGAGCCAGGCGTCCTGCAAACACCATCACGAGGACAGGCCCCTGAGAGTCTCGGCAGCGGGTGCGGGGAGGTGTCCGGTGGTGTGGTCGCCAGTGGGGAGGTCGGGCTGACAGAAGGCCACCACCCTCCCTCCCACGCTGTAAAGTGGGAAATTACCTAGCACGTGTCCTAAGACTTGACAAACGAGAAGTCCACCCTGCCATTCCCCGCCCGCTCTGCGGGTCTACACAGTTCTGTGCAGGGCCCCTCCCCGCCCCTGGGTGCCGATCCGCGATCTGGAATTCCGCGTGCCCGGTGGCTGTGGGTCCTTGGGTCCAGGGTCCGTGCGGGGCCCTCGCGGGCCACGGCTAGAGCAGCTTCACGTAGTTCTGTGGAATCAGCCCCCTCCTGCCGTTCAGAGTCCCTTCCAGCCAGCCAGGTTCCCTCGAGGTTTGCACTGAAAGAGAGGAGAAACCGCTTTTACCAAGACGCCCAGGTACGTACCCTGCATCTTCACTGTGCCGCTGTGTATCGTGAAGGCTCAGCCATACAGAAGGGCCACAGGGCTCCAAGGGCAGCCCCACGGTCAGCAACACCCCCACAGGTGTCCACGGGCTGCATTCAGGTGTGGGCTGCATCCATGGCCCACGACACGGTCTGGACACGACGTCAATCTGGGGACATCCCTGAAGGTCAGGATGAGCATGGACACACCGAGAACGTACAGACCCAGTCCAGAGTCCCACGAAGTGGAGAGGCCAAGATCTAATCTCAGGCAAAATTACTCCAGAGCTGACGACCCATAGCTACGTGCTGCCTACCTGTCCTTTTCCCAAAACACACCGAGGTACTGCGCGTGTGTGTGTAGAGAGACACACAGAAACACACCGAGGTACTGTGCGCGTGTGTGTGTAGAGAGACACACACATAAACACACTGAGGTACTGTGCGCGTGTGTGTAGAGACACACATAAGCACACTGAGGTACTGTGCGCGTGTGTAGACACACACATAAACACACTGAGGTACTGTGCGCGTGTGTGTAGAGACACACATAAGCACACTGAGGTACTGTGCGCGTGTGTAGACACACACATAAGCACACTGAAGTACTGTGCGCGTGTGTAGACACACACATAAACACACTGAGGTACTGTGCGCGTGTGTAGACACACACATAAACACACTGAGGTACTGTGCGCGTGTGTAGACACACACATAAACACACTGAGGTACTGTGTGCGTGTGTGTAGAGACACACATAAGCACACTGAGGTACTGTGCGCGTGTGTAGACACACACATAAGCACACTGAAGTACTGTGCGCGTGTGTAGACACACACATAAACACACTGAGGTACTGTGCGCGTGTGTGTAGAGACACACATAAGCACACTGAGGTACTGTGCGCGTGTGTAGACACACACATAAACACACTGAGGTACTGTGCACGTGTGTAGACACACATAAACACAGAGGTACTGTGCGTGTGTGTAGAGAGACACACAAGCACACTGAGGTACTGTGCGCGTGTGTAGACACACACATAAGCACACTGAGGTACTGTGCGCGTGTGTAGACACACACATAAACACACTGAGGTACTGTGCACGTGTGTAGACACACATAAACACAGAGGTACTGTGCGTGTGTGTAGAGAGACACACATAAGCACACTGAGGTACTGTGCGCGTGTGTAGACACACACATAAGCACACTGAGGTACTGTGCGCGTGTGTAGACACACATAAACACAGAGGTACTGTGCGTGTGTGTAGAGAGACACACATAAGCACACTGAGGTACTGTGCGCGTGTGTAGACACACACATAAACACACTGAGGTACTGTGCGCGTGTGTGTAGACACACACATAAACACACTGAGGTACTGCGCGTGTGTAGACACACACATAAACACACTGAGGTACTGTGCGTGTATGTAGAGAGACACACATAAACACACTGAGGTACTGTGCGCGTGTGTAGACACACACATAAACACACTGAGGTACTGTGCGTGTGTGTAGAGAGACACACATAAACACACTGAGGTACTGCGCGTGTGTGTAGAGAGACACACATAAACACACTGAGGTACTGCGCGTGTGTGTAGAGAGACACACATAAACACACTGAGGTACTGCGCGTGTGTGTAGAGAGACACACATAAACACACTGAGGTACTGCGCGTGTGTGTAGAGAGACACACATAAACACACTGAGGTACTGTGCGTGTGTGTAGAGAGGCACACATAAACACACTGAGGTACTGCGCGTGTGTGTAGAGAGACACACATAAACACACTGAGGTACTGTGCGCGTGTGTGTAGACACACACATAAACACACTGAGGTACTGCGCGTGTGTAGACACACATAAACACACTGAGGTACTGTGCGCGTGTGTAGACACCACACATAAACACACTGAGGTACTGTGCGTGTGTGTAGAGAGACACACATAAACACACTGAGGTACTGCGCGTGTGTAGACACACATAAACACACTGAGGTACTGTGCGTGTGTGTAGAGAGACCACATAAACACACTGAGGTACTGCGCGTGTGTAGACACACATAAACACACTGAGGTACTGTGCGTGTGTGTAGAGAGACACACATAAACACACTGAGGTACTGCGCGTGTGTAGACACACATAAACACACTGAGGTACTGCGCGTGTGTAGACACACATAAACACACTGAGGTACTGTGCGCGTGTGTAGACACACACATAAACACACTGAGGTACTGTGCGCGTGTGTGTAGACACACACATAAACACACTGAGGTACTGCGCGTGTGTAGACACACATAAACACACTGAGGTACTGTGCGCGTGTGTAGACACACACATAAACACACTGAGGTACTGCGCGTGTGTGTAGAGAGACACACATAAACACACTGAGGTACTGCGCGTGTGTGTAGAGAGACACACATAAACACACTGAGGTACTGCGCGTGTGTGTAGAGAGACACACATAAACACACTGAGGTACTGCGCGTGTGTGTAGAGAGACACACATAAACACACTGAGGTACTGCGCGTGTGTGTAGAGAGACACACATAAACACACTGAGGTACTGCGCGTGTGTGTAGAGAGGCACACATAAACACACTGAGGTACTGCGCGTGTGTGTAGAGAGACACACATAAACACACTGAGGTACTGTGCGCGTGTGTGTAGACACACACATAAACACACTGAGGTACTGCGCGTGTGTAGACACACATAAACACACTGAGGTACTGTGCGCGTGTGTAGACACACACATAAACACACTGAGGTACTGTGCGTGTGTGTAGAGAGACACACATAAACACACTGAGGTACTGCGCGTGTGTAGACACACATAAACACACTGAGGTACTGTGCGTGTGTGTAGAGAGACACACATAAACACACTGAGGTACTGCGCGTGTGTAGACACACATAAACACACTGAGGTACTGTGCGTGTGTGTAGAGAGACACACATAAACACACTGAGGTACTGCGCGTGTGTAGACACACATAAACACACTGAGGTACTGTGCGCGTGTGTAGACACACACATAAACACACTGAGGTACTGTGCGTGTGTGTAGAGAGACACACATAAACACACTGAGGTACTGCGCGTGTGTGTAGAGAGACACACATAAACACACTGAGGTACTGCGCGTGTGTGTAGAGAGACACACATAAACACACTGAGGTACTGCGCGTGTGTGTAGAGAGACACACATAAACACACTGAGGTACTGTGCGTGTGTGTAGAGAGGCACACATAAACACACTGAGGTACTGCGCGTGTGTGTAGAGAGACACACATAAACACACTGAGGTACTGTGCGCGTGTGTGTAGACACACACATAAACACACTGAGGTACTGCGCGTGTGGAGACACACATAAACACACTGAGGTACTGCGCGTGTGTGTAGAGAGACACACATAAACACACTGAGGTACTGTGCGTGTGTGTAGAGAGACACACATAAACACACTGAGGTACTGCGCGCGTGTGTAGACACACATAAACACACTGAGGTACTGCGCGTGTGTAGACACACATAAACACACTGAGGTACTGTGCGCGTGTGTAGACACACACATAAACACACTGAGGTACTGTGCGTGTGTGTAGAGAGACACACATAAACACACTGAGGTACTGTGCGCGTGTGTAGACACACACATAAACACACTGAGGTACTGTGCATGTGTGTAGAGAGACACACATAAGCACACTGAGGTACTGTGCGCGTGTGTAGACACACATAAACACACTGAGGTACTGTGCGCGTGTGTAGACACACACATAAACACACTGAGGTACTGTGCGTGTGTGTAGAGAGACACACATAAGCACACTGAGGTACTGTGCGCGTGTGTAGACACACATAAACACACTGAGGTACTGCGCGTGTGTAGACACACATAAACACAGCTGCACCCTTTTTCAGGACTCCTCAGTCACCGAAGGCCTGCGGAGGCGGAGAACCCCCTGCGTCCCGTGTCAGACACCTGTCACCCTCTTCCTTGCTGGCAGAACGGGTCTCAGTGCGGACCTGACCCTCATCCTCACGTCCCTGTGCCCGCGTGGTTCTGGGTCTCAGGCCTGGCCAGGAACGGGTTCGAGATGAGAATGACCCATTCACCTCATCAGGACGCGAGGGCAGGGAAGGCAGAGAGGCTCTGGAGAGCTCCCACTGTTACAATAAGGAGCACAGGAAGGGGCCCCTTCTGCGGGGGTGAGTGGGCCACAGGCCTGGGGCTGAGGCCGGCTCGTCTGCACGTGCCACGCCAGCCAGAGGCCCGTGCGCCCCCAGCTGAGGACGCTCCGCGGAGGCGGAGATCCTGGGGCCCTGGGCAGGGAACCGGCCAACCCAGAGGCCCGACGCCCATCTGCATGATCCATCCCCACGGTGTCTCTGTTCCGGCAGCGGAAGGCGTCTGGTGGGCACACCTGTACCGGGGGGACCGTCTCACGGACGCTCCGCGCACGGGGCTTCGGAGGCCCCAACACGTCGATCGCCCAGCGCAAACCCCTCCGCCCCTCCTCCGACGACGGGGTTCAGGGCGGCCCCATCGGCGCTGGGCAGAGCCGCCTGAACATCCGTGATGCGGGAGACGCGTGACCTCTACTCTAAGAATAAATGTCTCCGTAAAGTATCGTTCTGTCGTGTGTGGAATTGTGGTGTCTGTTTTCTGACACTGTCAGGAGTGTCTGGCCCTCAAGAGTACACATGCGTAGAAATCTCTTCTAGAAAAGATGGCTTGGTTCTAAAAACACGATCACCCACAAATGCCACCTTACAGACGACACCCCGTCATGCATCCCAAACTCTGGCTGAGCGACCACTCCGGCCCCAGGACCTAAGGTTCTGTGTCCCCAGAAGTCCTCTGGGCCGCTCCGCCCACACACGCCATCACTGTTTCCACAGCAACCAATGAATTTCATCATCATCTGGAGAAGAAAGAAATCGGGTGGGGGTGGGGGGCAGCCAGGCAACCCCGGGGGGATTTGTGCAACAGTAAGCCGGGCTCGGTTCCTGAGTGCTGTGTGTGAACACTGAACACACACAGGTACACCCTTGTTCCAACGTGCAAAGCCAATACCCACATCTGAAGGCTCACACATTATCAGCAAAAATCACGTACAGCATAGAACGGAAGGGAGTGATGAACTACAGTATTTCTACAGAGCACTCTTGCAGTGACTGATCTGGCGAGGCTGAGCATCTGGGAGCCCGGCTGGGTTTCTGGGAGAGAAGCAGTTCCTCACTCAGAGGCGCTGGCTTCCCTGCGTCAGGAGGAAGACGCCCCGACGAGGACCCCGGGAGTTGACAGGGTGGGAGGATGACCAAGGTGAAGGCAGAGGTGGCCCGCCAGACACTGACACAGCCGCCGGCGTCCGGTCCTGGGACCCCAACGGGCCCACTGTCGCTTGTGCAGAACATCAAGGGACGGACGTGCCCCTGACAACACCCCAACCAGACCCCCCGGGCTGCAGACACACTGCATCCGCCACAACACTCCGGCGCGCACTCACCGTCCTCGAAAATCGCTCCTATTTCGAAAGACAGTTCGGAGCTGTGTTCTGCCTCACAGGGATACACCGCTCGAGCCTTCCGACTGGCCACGCTGGGGAGAGAAGGAGACAGATTACCACGTGGAGGCGCTGGCAGAGAGAAGCCTCACCCGCCCCCAAATCATTTCTACGTCACTGGTGGGGCAGCTCCTTCCAAAAGGAATCGGGGACGTGAACATCCAGCAAAAGCACAGCCCTTGAGATCCGAGTCAAGGGTGGGTTTCGAACCCAAACCCTCCCCTAGGGAGCCTGTCTGAGCAGCCTTCCCGACCCCTTCTCCCCCGCCTCCTCTCTGCCTGGTGGGACGCCCTTTGAACCGCGGGCATGTGCAGTTCCTGAGCACGGGGGCGTCTGGCAGGAGGAGCGCCCGGGTGGCAGGTGACAGGCCGCGCACCTGCTGAGGGCCCGGCAGTGCTCTGGACGCTGACCTGCTGGGACGGACAGTCAGCTTCCCCGCCCTCCGGGAAGGGCTTGTCCCTGCTGGTCCCAGTGTCCAGTTACCTTCCTTTAAAACAGAGCCTGTGACGCCCTGGCCGGTTTGGCTCAGCGGTTAGAGCGTGGACCTGTGGTCCCGAGAGACCTGGGTTCGGTTCCCGCTAAGGGCACGTACTGCGGTTGCAGTTTGTCCCCGGCCCTGGTTGGTCGTGCGGGTGGCAGCCACTCGATGTGTCCCTTTCACATCGATGTTTCTCTCTCTCTCCCTCCCTGAACAAAAAATGGAAAAATGTCCTCAGGTGAGGATAAAAAAAATAAAATAAAATAAAATAAAACAGAGCCTGTGCTTTATATTTACGTATAAAAAATTCTTCCAAAATGAATGAGACGCTTCGAAAATGCACAATCAGCACCAAGAAGAGTGGGTTCGAGCAGGTCTCCCCTGGGGTGGAGTTCTCCTAAGAGCCTACCTGCCTGAGACACGGCTGTAAGTGCGCCCGGGAGGCCGGCAGACGGAGCCTTTCCAGCCGGGGACACAGCACCTGCTCAGGTTCCTGAGCCCCTTCCCTGCGCAGCCACCACACTCCACGTCATTCCCCAACCACGTACCTCTCAGGTGGCTTGTCCACGGCGGGGCCAGGAGGACAGAAGGGGAAAGGTGACGCGCTGGGTGAAGGGGGTGTGAGAGCTGGGTTGCAGCCGGGTGTGGTCGGGGACTGCGGGTTGAGCCACTGGACCATCGGTGATCGGGTCTGGCTTGAGCTAAGGGTGGAAGTGTGAAGAACAGGATTTAATAGTCTAAAGGCCACAGAACCCCAATAGCTGACACCTCTCTCCTAAATAGCTGGGATGACGGTCCCCTTGTCTTTCCGGAAGACCAGAGGACAGAGTCCTCTCCGCATGCTCCTCAAGCCCCGAGCCTCACCCCAAACTAGTGACGCCTCATTGCACGGCTCCAGGTTAGAGGAGAAGGTGTGGCTGAGTCCAACTAGCCCCAAATCAGCTCACTAATTAGATCAGTTCACTAATCAGGGCACCGAATCTAAGTGCCCGCAGTGGCTGCTCCGAGGTGTTCTGTTTACAAGGGAAAGTCAAACGAACCTGCGGCAGACAGTGACCTACAGCTCCAACAGCCTCTGACTGTCTGGAGCTCTTTCATCTGGTCACATATGTGCAGCAACTCAGCAGAAAATGCCACTAGGAATCAAGATCCCTCTAGACAGGGCTAGTCTAGTGTTTAAAGGAAAAAGCAACTGATAACACAATTCTCAGGTGACCTGAACACATTCCCTAATATTTGCAAGTTTAGAAAACAATTACTGGAAAAGGCCAGTGAAGAGACTTCCGGAGGGGCCTCTCCACCCCAAAGGAGAGTTCAGTAAGCGTGCTGGCCTGAATTACATTCCTCTCCAGCCGCTCCCTGGAGGCGTGTGGCTGTGGTCTGGGCCCTCATCACAACGGCGCCGTTCCCCCCATCACACTGTCCACGCGCGCTCAGAGTCTGCTGCAGCCCGGGTGCTGATCCCCACTAAGCTCGCCCTGTTCGGCTAATCCGTTCCCACGAGCAGGTGCTCCCTGTCCTCCTGGACTCCTGGGCACGACCTTCGGCTCTCCCTTCTCCGGCAGGACTAATACCGTGCTCTGTCCGTTCTTGTTTCAAATGGCTCCCAGGCTGTCCCTCTGTCTACCTTCTCATCATTAGCTGGAGGCTACCCCATTCTCACGGCTTCGTGTCTGCTACCGCTGGGGTTTCCTGGCTCCCCCACCCCACTCTGCCCGCTCTGCCAGCTCCATCAGCCACCCGCAGCCCCCTCAGACCCAGTCTACCCAGCCTGCCTCCCCCAGGATCAGGATGACCCCCACTGCCTTTCAGGGCCCCCAGCCCCAGCAGCCAGCCTCTCCCCTCCTCTGCCTGCTCCAGTCCGGCCCTTGCTCAGCTCGGCGGCAGGTCCGCCTGCCCCATCCGTCTCCTTTGGCCTCTGAAAGGCCCAGACCTCCCGAGGGCCCATCACGAGTGGTTCTGTGATGGTTTCCGATAGTTCTCTCGCCTTTGGGGCAAAAGCAAGTCTTTAGTTCTGTTCGTAGACCCCATGGGCCAGGAAGAGTGCTGGGCACACCAAGTCTTCCACCAACATCCGAGCAACCAGGTCAGATGTTCTACGACCGAAGTTGGGTTTTATAAATCAGGGACCTGGAATATTACACCACGGACTCGATGGATATTTACTGCGCAGAAGGCGCCTACCCTTTCATCAGGAAAGGGGAGGGCAGTGCCTCGCAGAAACATCCTTCTTTGAACGACTTATTTACGGCCCCCCGCGCAGCCATGCGTTTGGAAGTCATCAAACCTTGCGTACACACAGCAGAGCGACCCATAAATCCCCGCGTGATCGGGGTCGCCCCAGCAGGAGTCACTCCGTTCTTCATCCGAAAATGAACCTTAAATGGTGTCTCACTAATCAGGAAGGGAGGGTCAGGGACGAGCGAGCTGGCGGGGGATTTAAGGCCGCTGTTAGCCAAACAATTGCCATTGTGTGTCCCAGCGGTGATTCAGGGTGCGGGGCAGCGTTGATGGGGGAGATGTTTCACCACACCCCTGCCAACTCCTTCTCGTCACAGACAGCCACGCGATTAAATGACGGCTATCCCTCTGCTCAGAGGGAGGACAGCGACCGCACGAAGATAGAGTAACAGTGTCACTATATTTATGGGCTCTTTAAACATACGGATCATAAATTTTAGGGTTATTACCTCCTTAATCCTCACATCTTTCTTTTTTTTTTTTTTTTTAAGTGTTTTTGTTTGTTTTCTAAAGGGAAAATACCAGTTTGGGAAAGTAAAAGAATTGTCGGAATGGCAGACGCAGATGGTAAGGGCCCCCCCTTAGGGAGGCTTGCTCCACCTGCCCCAAAGCGGCTGGGAATCAGCCCGTGTCCGGTTAGTTCTCCACCCTAGCCTTGTTGTTTGTTGGTTTGTTTGTTTTCCTTGATGTTTTTTCTTGTCGTTCCATAAACAGGTCTTACGGGATCCAGCACCAACCAGTTCACCAACAGCCTGTCGGACTTCCCCCTTCGACTTAAATTTCTGTGTCTGAGTTCCTGTGTTTTCCCCACAGTATGACGGAGGACTCAGCGACTCCACCCTGGGTTCAGAGTCCCTTGCAGCCACATGGACTGCAATCTGGGGTTCACAGGAGAGGGTGAAGCACAGCCCAGGAGAGGAGACCCCGGAGCAAAACCAAGTCTGGGCAACAGACCAGAGGGGGTGCTTGGTTTTTCCACCAGGAAGGATGGGATGAGCAGGAACGGGTTCAGTAAAGAGACTCAAGACCTAAAAATCAATCCTTACCCTCAGCCCGTGGAGGTTGCGTGAAGGCACATTTCACTGGTGTCTCCCCAAAGCAAGCTGTCCATATGTATTAAGCCAAGCAATTATAAACATGAGCTTCGGTATATAAACCATCTCCAGCCTTCCAGAATTTGGGAGGGTTGTGTGTGTGTGTGAATAAGTATCAAAAATTTTTTAACACTTTAAGTCTGTAAAATAGAATGTTTTTTCTCCAGAAGCAGTAAAGAAAACAGTACTTTATAAGAGAATGCTGACACAATCTTTCTTTCTCTTCTCCGATTTGAGAGGAATACTCGGCATTTTGGAAGTGGTGGCCCAGGGCAAAGGTCCAGCACCTGTCCGCGGCTGGGCCCAGGACAGAACACAGCGCTGAGGCACGCGCACTCAGTGAACCTCTCCCATACGCCTAGATGCTCTAGCCACCTGTGTGGGGGGAGACACTTCTCCACGGTCTCTCGTGTTTCTGTGTATGCTGAAGAGAGGCGCTGGTGGTCTTTGCTCGGGACTTTCTGTTCACGGTGTTTGTAGAGCACACCGCCTGGGAAGATGGAGTGTGACTCCTGAGAGCCAAGGGCAGATTCAGTGCCCACCACAGAAGGTTGGGTTCCCTAAACTCTGGGTTCCTCCCCTGTCACACCCACATGGAGGTGTTCCCTGGCCCCAGAGCACCACCCTAGGGGAACTGGGACTGAAGCCACACGCTGGCTAGCCGCTGCTGTGGTCAGTGGAGTCTCGGCCCTGACCCGAAGTCCCGTGTCCTCTGCCAGCATCCGTGAAGCCATGCCAGGCACACCTGGTAGCTTGCAAGCAGAGTAAAACTTCAAACTTCACAGTTCTTGACACTAACACCCTTGGGAGAACTGAGGAGACACTCAGTTTTTGGACTGTGTGGTTCCGAAGGGAATCCTAGTGAAGAAAGTCTTTGGGTTCAAGATGTAGGATGATGAGCGACAGCAGCATCCAGAGGCCCTGACCTGCCAGAACGCAGGGAGCGTGTGGGGTGTCCCCTCCGAGCACTTCCCAGATTTCAACCTAAAAAATCTACTTCCTTCTTCCTGCTGCCGCTTGAACTGAGGGTTTTTGATGAGCAAGGCTGGTGGGACCGCAAACCCCGTCTATTTGATGGCGAGTTGCTGACGACAAAGAGGTGCCTGAGTGCCACGCGCTTCCGGAGCCAAGCGGTGCTCTGCAGGAAGGGAGACAGAAGTCGCCCTTCCCTAAATGCTCAGAAACCACGTTCACCGAAACAACAACAAATGCAAGAGAAATGGTAATGCCTGTCTGATTGCTATCTTCCCAAATTCACACAGTAAACAGAATCTTCTCCTGAAAAGACACCTCTCCAGGTCCGTGCGGGGAGGCAACACCACCCCACTCCTTTAAGGAGACGTGTTTCCTCCGTAAACACAGGGGCAAATGGACGAGAGGGTCTCACTGGACACACACAAAGGATTCGAACAGTAGCTCAGAAACTCAGCCTTGAAACTATTTACATGGCAAGTCCACCTGGCTATTCCTAAGGCAACAGAGAAGTCTGCCCTGTGCACGGGCCGGCAGGCGGAGGGGTGGGGAGCAGCAGGGAAGGGAGCATGCACCAGTGAAAGAGAGGGCGGAACTCTCCTCTATAAAAAAGCATCAACCCTCTTGCTGTGGAGAGAAGGTCTGGATTTCTGGACGGCCCGACAGCTGTTGTGGTGGGAGGCACAGGTCCTGGAGCACACGAAATTCAAACAGGAGCGGCGTGTGTGCACTTGGCAGAGCTTACGTCTCTAAAAGGTCACAAATCAGCACTAGATGCTGCTTCTGATTCAAACGGTGACCCGATCTTCTCCAATACCAGACTGGACGCTCCATGCATATTAAAAACTTCTGGGCAGCAGAAAAGCAGACATTTCAGAAAGGGCGCGGGGAGGGGGAGGGTCTTAACTTTTAAAATTCGACAACAGCTGCAGAGTCACCAGTGAGCTCCCACTTCACAAACGTTGCCTGCTGGGCGCAGGCGGCCAGGCTCTGGGCAGGGCGCTAGCCAAACGAGCCCCGGATTCCAGGCTCCCTGGGCACTGAGCGCAATTTAAAAGGCCATGGGTGCGGACGAGGGAGAATACAAGTCAAGAAAAGAAATGACTGCTCACAGGAAGTGATTAAATCCCCCGAATAGCAAGATCGCTGATGACGGTCATATGATGTCAGAATCAAATCAGAAGCCTGTGCTGGAATGAGAGATTTTAAAACCTCATTTGCAAGGTCTCCGAGCAGAAGCTAACACATTAGTGAAATGATCTTTCATTCCAGCCTGAGAAACGCACAGCCGACGTCGAGAACAGCTGTCCTGGGCAAAAGTGTTTGAAAACGTTAATAAAGACAGAAGGAAATATTGCAGATCTGTACATTGTGGGGAATCTCTGCTGCAGTAA